AAAAAAAAAAAAAAAAAAAAAAAAAAAAAAAAAAAAAAAAAAAAAATAAAACACACACACACCCACACACAACACACATCACGAAATATTTCAGGTATCTCTAATTGCTATGTACACAGCGCCCCCCATACCATTCTTCTGGCCACAGTCACGCTGTAGTATTGCAGACTTCCATTGCTGTTGGACGCCAGTGTGAAAATAATATCGAAGGTATTTTTTTGATGAATAAAGTATTCATTTCGTACCCCGATTAGCGAATGGGTAGTTCGTTTGCATTATGTTCGGAGAGGAGTTTGTTAAGCAGTGCGACTCATCTGGAGAGTGAACTGACGACGATAAGAACAGTACATTTCAACCTAATAGTTAACACATCATTGGAGATTAAAACTCCCTCCTTTGCTGTTTCATTATACAGGTATCACTACATATACACATACAATATCTTTATATATGCAGTAGTTATCACTGCTTTTACTAATAACCAATTTCTGATTTCAAGAAATCCCGAATACATTTGTAAAATTAGATCAACCTTGGGTACATTATATTTGTGGCGTTAATTGTATGGTCTTGTACGCTGATATATTCTAAGACTGAGTGCGTGTTTATCCTTGAAGTCCCTTGAACTGTACTAACAACGTAGTAATCGAAGATACATCGTAAACTACACCTGGAAATTACTGGAAGGATTGGTTGCAAACCTGCACGCCAAAATCACTACATGAGATAACGAAAGGCTTGGTAAAAGGTGCAGGATATACCCAGTGACAAGCAGAGGAACAATGAGTACACTGAGACGGAACTCAGTAAGTGTAAAGGGACTAGACTCTTCAACACTCTCCCTTCGTGCATAAAGGGGATTACCTACAGAACCCTAGTTGTCTTCAAGAGGGAACTCGACAAATTCCTTGAAACAGTTTCTGATCAATCAGGCTGTAGTGAATACGTTGGACTGCGGGCGGGGGGCACTAACAACTTGATCGATCAGGCCAATAACCAGGAGGCCAGGTCTGGGACCAGGCCGCAAGAGCGATGACCTCCGGAAGCGACTACAGGTAACCCAGAGGTGACCTCTCAACACTTCACATTGTCTTCACCCCCCTTCCTCCCTCCTCAAGGAGGTGAGGGACTCTTGATGTAAGGAACTGGACTTGGCCTCCCCTTCATTGGATTGAACCTGATTACCTCCCATTTTCTAGGCGCTGTATAACCCCTACAGGTTTAACGCTTCCTCCTTAATGATTGCAATAATACACTGTCTTTCATTTTCCTCTTCCCAAGTATCTATCCATACACACACATACACACACACACACACACACACACACACACACACACACACACACACACACACACACACACACACACACACACACACGCACCCCACCCACTTACTTTTTTATCTTAATAAGGCTAAGAAACAGTATTATGTGTAGGGGCGGGCGGGGGATGGGCCAGTTGAGGAGAAGCGGTAGAGCAAGAGTTGAGTGTGTTGACTGGACCTTACATCAGTGAGTCCCTGGGTTCCTCATTACTGCTTCCCTCAACATCCTCACCACAACACCACCTTTGTACCCATCTCACTGTTCCTCTCAGTTCCGTTGTGTAAAAAAAAAAAAAAGTCTGTAAAAGGAACACAGGGAGGTCAGATACACTACTAACAGACACTGCGGAGACGTTTTGCAAATCAGTGGCTTTATCAGTTCAATGCAGAGAATAATACTGCCAACAGTAGGAAACATGAAGTAGTGCTTTGAAATAGGCATATGATGACAAAAGCTAACAAGAGGAATAAAGACCTGATAAACCGTATCATTGGAGGACACATATCAAGTGGATCATCTGCTACCAGTGTCTTTATTCCTAGTACAGTACTCTCAGCTGATCATCTCAGCTGATCATCTCAGGTGATCATCTCAGCTGAACTTGTGGTTTACTCTACGCTGACACAATAACAATTATCACTAGTTTCTTAAACCCTTGGACATATCAATCCTTCCTCCTAGCCTAATGCTTCCTTCCTTGCCGGATGTATTATGTTATTTTATGTATCATGTGTACTGTGTTTGCGGCTACAGTGTTATGACCCCTAAGTGATGTCTTCATTTATTCTGTTTTGGCTTTCATTGAAAACCTTTCTTCTTCCTAATGCTCTTATACTGACATCGGAGAAGGATCAGATGACGAAGTGGGTGTGTAACTCTAGGGTGGAAGGTTGGAGGGGTAGAGGTCACCCTAGGATCGGTTGTTAGTTAGTTTAATATGTTTATTATGCACCCCATACCCATCCTGTGGGCGGTAGTCAAAAGATTACAGAGGTACATAATTGGTCCAGGGACTGGGCCTCAAAGTTTTGATAGCTGAGCAAGTTACAGAGGTAATGAATTCACAATTTACAAAGGTAATGAACTCACAATTTACAAAGGTAATGAACTCCAGATAGGTCTAGTCACAATCATGACAAGTTACAAAGGTATTTACAGATTACAGAGGTACACAATGGGTCCAGGGACCGGGCTCCAAAGTTTTGATGGCTGAACTAGGTACAAAATGGGGTAATGAACTCACAAGTTACAAAGGTAATGAACTCACAAGTTACAAAGGTAAAAGAATACTGTAAGAATGGGTTTCTTACGTTTATACATGGCTGCAATCATGAACAAATTTTAGAGTAATGAGCAATTCACACTTCTTGAGAAAGGGGAAAGGACCTTTGAGTTTTAGTGCTTGAGAATCAGCAAGCAGGCGGCTAGA